CCTGATGAACAAAGACCCCACACCACACCAGCCTATCCCCTCATCCCTGATGAACAAAGACCCCACACCACACCAGCCTATCCCCTCATCCCTGATGAACAAAGACCCCACACCACACCAGCCTATCCCCTCATCCCCGGTAAACAAAGTCCCCACCTGTGTGAAGCCAGCCGTCCTCATCTATCATCCCCCGGGTCGCCTCCTCGTTCTTGTGGTAGCCTTTCATGATCTGAGGACCCTTCATGCAGTACTCTCCCTCCTGCCCGGGGCCCAATGGCAGTCCAGTCTCCACATCAAGAATCTACACAACCCAAAGGGATAGGAGTGTAAAAGTAATTTCTCCAGTAAAAAGAAGCCAAAACATGCTTACTTACTTACAATGCCATGGCTGCCAAAGCCAAAACATGTTATGAACTAATATTTACACATCTCAAGTACTCAAACTTTGCTTAGGAACATAAAAGTGACAGACAATGGTTTTAAACTTTTATGACACTATTGTTCAAACCATAATGGCCCTTCTTGACTTTACAGCTTTTGGGACACATCAAACATATAATTTTACAGGAAAATTTAAAAAAATTGCTTCACAATTTGATATCTGAATTTGAAATAGGAGATAAATGTGTTGCCAAAATGACAGACCAAAATTTTAACTTGCACTTGCACAAGAAAATTTCAAGCGTACTATTAAATGAATTAAGAGTAAAAGAAATCTGTTGACTAATTAGGGTACAGTTTGTATAATTTACAACATAAAAATAATCACTGCTAGATTTCCGGCGAGGCTTTCAGTAAAAAATTATATAATCTCCGATGCCATTCCTGCCAACATGAGCCCACAACTGTGGCCAGCTGTACAGAAGCACAGTGCGGCCTCTCTATAACAACATCGTCGGGACCAGAAAGAAATGTCTTTATAGAGAGTGGTTGTTATAGAGAGGCAACCAAAAATATTACTAATGATATATAAAGAAAAAATTGGGACCTGGGCACCTAGTCGCTATACAGAGGATGTCGTTATATCGAAGTTGTTATAGACAGGCTGCACTTTTTTTTTTTCAGTGCAGTTTCTTGATCTGTGGTAAAAGTTGCGAGGCTAAAACAGCACCTGGACATGGATTGCTGGTGTCTCTATAAATAAATCATTGGTGGTCTGGTCTGGTAAAAGTTGCATGTGCTCAAGAAAACGTTTTCTTGAAAATTCAAATTCTAAATTGCTACCTCAGAATTACGAAGTTGAGTCTGCTCAATACCTAATTTTGAGAAATTTGACGTAATGATTTTTGAGATTCCTAAATTGGTAAAGCTTTTTCCTGTGCAATTCTTTAAATAATTTGATTCCGATTCCGAATATTCTTACAATTTTGATAGAGTAGATAGATCTAGAGCATTTGCTTTCTGACCTCGTCTTAGCAACTCAAAACGGCCAAAAATATCAGAGAGAGCTTTATAATTCTGAGGTTGTGAAATGTTGAAAAAGGCAAGAAAAAATGCATAACCTCTTTCTGGGAACATTTTGCTTGCTGGGTTTTGTACATTTGAACAGCTTGCTGACGATGTGCAATCCATTCTGCACACGATTAATGTGATCACAGCACTCACTACTCACTACTGACCTTTCCAATTGTGTTTGGGACCAGACATCCCACGGATCCGGATATCCCAACAGTATCCGTGTTGATGGCGGGCGACGTTTCAGTGAGCCCGTAGCCTGTGGAGAGAGGTACCGTACGGTGGATATAAAGCTCTGATCTAGACTGGAAGACACAAAACATATTTCAGTTTCATTTACACTTTCTTTTACACAGTCTGAATTTAAACTTTTGAGAATTGAGATATGACATATATCGCACCTTCGACAGTTGCATGACTCCAGGGTTCCACATGACAATAACTGCTCAGAAAAAAAGTAATATGGTCTAGTATGTAGGTATAAGTTCTGAGTCATCTTATAAGATTCTCATATAAGTATTACTTTGTTGATGTTTTTGGTGCAATTACGGAATATTTCTTTGACAGACACTTCAGTGATTCTCACAGATATTTACTGAGCAAAACCCTTAGGCTCTAGCACAGGACATTCCTCTTGTACTCAGGGAATCCTTTATCCCTGAACAAAAGTCTTATAACACAAACATGCAAGACACTTTTCATAATCTCAGAAAAATGAGGCATTTGCTGACTGTCAATTTGGATACATCAATACATCGAAGTAGAGATCGGGGAAGATGGAGGCCTGTTGTGGCAAGGAGTTGGGCACAAACGGATGAAGACGGTTGTAGTGACAGGGGACAGTTTGGACCTGATACATACCCCGTAGAACTCTACAGTCGTGATTATGTCTGTGACACATACCCCGTAAAACTCTACAGTCGTGATTATGTCTACAGCTGTGATTATGTCTGTGACACATACCCTGCAGAACTCTACAGCTGTGATTATCTCTACAGCTGTGATTATGTCTGTGACACATAGAGGGTAGGACTCTACAGCTGTGATTATCTTTACAGCCGTGATTATATCTCTGACACATACCTTGCAGAACTCTACAGCCGTGATTATGTCTGTGGAGGAACTCGTCTGTCAGCTCGGCACCCAGGCAGGCCGCAGCACTGAAGACAGACTGGATGGAGGTCAAGTCAAACTTGGACACCACCGGGTGCTTTGCGAGGAACAATATCAAGGGAGGAACAAGGGGAGCGATCCTGATCTGTGGAGCAGACAAAATGAACATTGTTAACTGACACATGGAGAAGTTTTGTTAAAACCTGAACCTTCATGGCTAAAAAAAGGAAATTAATTCTTAAATTCAATAACATAATAATCTTTATGAATTTACAGAGAGCGTCAAAGTTGCATTTTTTGGGATCATACATGGTAAGTTCCCCACCTTTTCCACGGCGACAGACCAAAAATATCTTTTGGGGCTTGATGTACCCTAGTGTGCACGCACCTTGCTATTGTGCCTTGACACCATTCAATACTTATCCTTTTGATACCTACACTTGCTCTCTACACCACTCTAGCCTTCACTGCTAAGTAAGACACCTGCTCTGTACACCACTCTAGCCTTCACTGTACACCACTCTAGCCTTCACTGTACACCACTCTAGCCTTCACTGTACACCACTCTAGCCTTCACTGTACACCACTCTAGCCTTCACTGTTAAATAAGACACCTGCTTTCTACACCACTCTAGCTTTCACTGCTAAGGTAGACCACGCCCATCACCCGCAGCTGGTGCATACATTTTGTCAGCCCCCCCTCCTCCGGTAACCTGACCAGCTTGGAAGAACCTGCCAGGGCCCTAAGTCTCCGCTGGTACTGGTATAGT